AGTGAGTGTGTGTGTGAGTGTGTGTGTGAGAGTGTGTGCGAGTGTGTGTGAGAGTGTGTGTGTGTGTGTGTGTGAGTGAATGAGAGTGTGTGTCGCTGGTGTTCTTGTGCAGTGAGGAATACTATGGTACTGGATGATTATTACTATACTCCTGTACTATGGTGCTTCAAAGAATACCATGCTACAGGCACTGCGCTCTGTAAGTGTGTGTGAGTGTGAGTGTAGGTGAGACGCGACGCGACGCCCCGCCCCGCGCATGTGACGCGCCGCGGTCTGACTCAGCGGGGGGCAGGGCTCAAACCGCCTCCGTCACGCTGCGTCAGTCCAGAGTCGCACAATTATGAAAATTCCACCTTCCGCTGGAGCTGCAGCGGACGCACACGACTCCCTCCGCCGCCACCGGGCTCTCCTTCCGCGGCTCACCGAGCAGCACGGCGCCGATAGATGGCTAGACGCCTTGGATCAGCGCGTCGCGACTCTGAACGGTGAAGAGAATGGTATGTTACGCATCTCTGCGGGTTTCTAGCGCTTGCGTGGCGCGCACGAGACGAACGCGCTGACAGCTGATCGGGCGTCGCGTCGAGGCGTTCTGGCTCGTGGCTCGCCGCTAGCGTTAGCTGCTGTGACGCGTGTGCGCACCGAGCCCCGGTACCGGCGGAGCGCGCTGGAAACACCTGGCGTCGCGTTCGAACGCCGTCGTAGATCACAACGATCCTGCGCGGAATTAACGTAAAGCCTCCGGTTATGGAAACAGTCGAGTTAGCTTAGCCGCTCGGTTCCGCAGCTCACTGACACTTAGGGGCAGAAAAACTGTAATGACGGTTAAACATAAGAATATTCAAACAGAAATACTGGCGCGAGTTCTGAGGGGAATACCCGCGCTTTCTCGCTCGCGCAGGATTATAATAATGTGTTCTGTTCAGTAACACTTAGTAAATCTGTGTGTTTGTGAGTTCGTTGTAGATGATAAACTGGCGCTCGTCGCGTGTTCTGTCAGTGCGGCTGGAGCGATTAATCCAGTGAAGTACAAATAAAGTGAAGTCTTCGACTCCAGCGATGGTGAGTGATTAGTACGCGGCTCAAAATCGTGATGGTATCCTAAATTAATGTTTTTAAACAGACCTGAAGATTTTCATACAGACACTGTGATGTTCAGCAGCAGCTCATGAAAAACTAGTGGCGGTTTATTTTAATCCAACGGCACAAAAATAACTTAAAACTCTTAAAATAAAGGCTCCAAGAGGGTTTTTCACAGAAGAACCATTTTTGGTTCCCCAAAGAATCTTTTTATGAACAGTTCTTTAAAAGAACCATGTTTTCTTAGTGTAAAGAAGCGTATATGCAATGGAAAGGTTCCATGGGTCTTAAAGGGACAGTTCGCCCTAAAATTAAAACTCCGTCATCATTTACTCACTCTCACATACTGCCAAATCTGTATGGGTTTCTTCTGTTGAACTCAAAATAAGATATTTAGAAAAATGTTGGCAACCACAGAGTTGCCTGTAGCTGTTGACTTCCACTGTATTTCCCCCCCCCTGCTATAGAAGTGAATGGGTGCCGGCAACTGTTTGGAAGAAAGTAACTAGTAGATGATGACAGGTTTGTTTTTTTTTTGGGTGAACTGTCCCTCATGGAATCATCAATGCCTATAAAGAACCTGGTAACACTTTATTTTAAGGTTACATGTACATACTTTTATAATAACAATAAATTATGCATAATTACATACTAAGACAAATCCTAACCATATAGTAAGTACATGTAGTTAATTAATATTATTATTAATATTAAAATAAAGTGGAACCAATAACGTTTATTTTTAAGAATGACCGTTCAGATCAGCAGAGGTGTAGTGCGTAAACTAAACAATATCTGTTTCTCATTTACATGATTTTAACATTGACGGATATAGCTGACAGACTCTCGTTTGTTGTGATGTGTGATGGATATTGATTATCTGGCGTTTGTGTACTGAAGTGTATGTTTGTGTTTATGGAGTCACTTGAATCAGCTTGTATGTGTCTAGAATATTTATTGGTATACATTGGTGTAAGTGTCTGTTTACAATAGATATGTGACGCTGGAGCACAAAAGCAGTGTTAAGTCGCTGGGGTATATTTGTAGCAATAGCCAACAATACACTGTGTGGGTCAAAATTATACATTTTTCATTTATGCCAAAAATCATTAGGATATTAAGTAAAGATCATGTTCCATGAAGATATTTAGTACATTTACTACCGTAAATATATCAAAACTTAATTTTTGATTAGTAATATGCATTGCTAAGAACTTCATTTGGACAACTTTAAAGATGATTTTCTCAATATTTAGATTTTTTTGCACCCTCAGATTCCAGATTTTCAACTAGTGTGCTATCCTAACAAACCATACTCATTGTGACCTGGTCTTCTCTACTGTGGTCATTCTAGAGGACTGGAACCGGATTTACCTGCGCTGCAGGGTCCTGGGTGTTTTTTAGGGCCTAGGGCTGAATGTTTAGTCTAAACTAGTTGAGCTGACCCTAATGACCTCTATAAGAACACAATGTACGTGGATGGGTGGCTTGTAGAACTGCGTCTCAAAGCTAATATTTCTGCTCCGTTTCGGAGAATCACTGGTAAATAGAGCTTCAGAGTGAAATTGCATTCAGTCAGTTGGATAATTTAGTTTGGTGGTTTATGGAATTCTATATTCTGTATTCTATGTTCATACAATGGAAGTCAGTGGGGTCCAAAATATCTCCTTTTATGTTCCACAGAAGAAGCGAAGTCATCATGAGGAGCAAATGAGCGTAGATTTTATTCATAGACCCACTTTATGTTAAGTGTCTTATTCTTAATCTTGCGTACTAACGTTTAAATGAATCATTTGATGCAATGCACTTGCTGTGTACATACTGTTTTTATGTTGTACTTATATTTAACAATACCTTCCTGTAGTTATGCAATTCATATCAGTCGTTACATCTATAATTACAGCGTTGACCCTTAAACCTAATCTAAACCTCACCAAACCTTAACCGTATCCCAAACTCAGCAGCAGCAAAACAGCTTGCAATTCACTTCAACGCAACAGTTACGTTGTAGCCAAGGAGTATTTATTTATTTTGTAAGAACATAGACCCCTAATTTGAAGTGGGATTGAAGTATTAATTTGTACTATTCTTCAGAGTTGAAACTTATGGAAGTTTTGATGCTATTTCTGGTGATTGACGCTGACAGCAGCTATTGAAGAGCACAAAGTCAATCGAGTGAGCGGTGGAACCTGTTTGAGGTTAATATGCTCTGAACACGTTTGACTCGTATCTGTGACCGAAGCCGACGAGAGAGATCCGTCTCGGTGTGTTTCAGACTCGACTCTCAATGCATGAAACGAACGGCTCAGGTTTATAAAACTAATCTGTGCTGTTTAGAAAACCCTGAACTCCAAAGACGTGACTTGAGTTTAGCGTCTGAGACTCGTGAACATGTTGAGGTTTTTTATACAACAGTTCAATAAACAAGAAGTTAATATTAAGAGCTTACATTTTAGACACCATATTGCCTATTTTTTGCTCTATTTCACCAACAAAAATGGATCCAAACAAAGCCACAGCACTGTTTTGTGTCTCTACATGAGTGTTTCGTTCCTGAATGAATCAAGCGTTTAAATGATTCGGTTCAGTCGCAATGAATCACTTATTAACAGTGACTTGCTGCCACCTGCTGACGGCTTTAATTTCACATTTTAAAGTACCTTTTTATATATTTTTTTAATCATTTCAAATATCAGTATTCAGCGTTTTAAGATTAAAATATCAAGACATGATTTATGCATTTGTAACTGCAGGTTAAAGCATTCATGCCTTGTGTTAAACGGTGTGTATATGCAGCTTCTGTGTTGCATTGCATGACTTTTGTTGATAATGATTTTATTTGTTTGGTAACAGCCCCAAATGTCTTATTATTGTTTATTGATTAAATGTAAGAATTTGACACACTTCTAGAAAAAAAAATGGCTTTACAAAGGTAAAACTGGCCATAAACGGTAAAAATCATTTTAGACTTGTTGGAAAAGATTAATTTTTATCACTGCTGTGAACTGGCCACCACAGAGTCAGTCCTGCAGTGCAGCACACTCAGCAAAAAACTGATTATCGATCGTTACCGATAAAATCCCAGAAAATATGTGACCCTGTCTGTGAAAACCCAGCTAAAGTCAGTTTTTGGTGATTTATTGTTTTCTATATAAAATCATCCTTCATAAGGTAAAGAACATTCTGTTAAAATGTAACATTGATATCTTTATTACTGATTGAGTAAGACTGTCAAAGATTGAAATCATAGTGAAATTAATGGTTGAAATCAAACTTTGATGCTTATCTCATAATGAGATTCTGAGACTTTAGCCTGGATTTCACAGAGAGGGTCACATATAGAGATATCATTTTTTGTCAACATCGCACACCCCTAGGCTAGATATTTAATTCTTCTTTGCTTAGTGATTGTTTGGTACACCTAATTCACTGATTATCGTAAAATAATATTTTATCTTAGAATTAGGTTTTCTCAACGGTAACGAGGAGGACAAGACAAAAAATATGCATCATATGTATATATAGTTTTATTTTATTTATGTATGTTTATTTTATTTATTTATTAATTGTTTCATAAAAAATTTTTTGGGGTGGGGGGACCCCAAGAGCTTTGACACAATTCGAACACTTGGATAGGACAATATTTGAAAATCTGGAATCTGAGGGTGCAACTTAGAATTAGGTTTTCTCAACGGTAACGAGGAGGACAAGACAAAAAATATGCATCATATGTATATATAGTTTTATTTTATTTATGTATGTTTATTTTATTTATTTATTAATTGTTTCATAAAAAAATTTTTGGGGTGGGGGGACCCCAAGAGCTTTGACACAATTCGAACACTGGATAGGACAATATTTGAAAATCTGGAATCTGAGGGTGCAAAAAAATCTAAATATTGAGCCCATACAGTGTATTGTTGGCTATTGCTACAAATATACCCCAGCGACTTAACACTGCTTTTGTGCTGCAGAGTCACAGATGGTTTCTAGATGATTTCTGATCTGATCTACTTACTGAGACGACTGTGTGTGTTTCAGCCAAAACTGTGTAAGATTTTTCTTCACACAGAAACTTAAGAGTCACATGCTCAAGATTACTGTAATAATACCAGACCTGAACGAGAGCGAGAGAAAGAGAGACTGTAATTCACTCTAACCTCGAGCAGCTAAACTGTGTTTAAATATGAGATTCAGTAGTTTGACTCAAACACCGTAATTTATGATCTGAGCCAGTCTGTGGAGAAACTCCCTTTAGTCCCGTTCAGTGACGTCTGTAATTGGAAGAAACTGTCATTAATGATAAAGTAAATGGTTTCATTTAGAGTCTAGATAAGAGCTCATTCTGTGTGTGTGTGTGTGTGTGTGTGTGTGAGAGA